AATTTCAAGTGGCCATTAAATGAAATGTAAGTAAGTTGTAAATACATGAGCCTCAAAGACTTTCTTTTCTTCCTAATGCATATTTTCTTCTCTGTCATTCTGTTAAATGTTGTTTACGGTGTACATTTTATTTTTAAAGACAGTTCGGTGGAAATTGTCTTTAGAATCTCTCCGCATTTCTGGTTCAGCTGGCTCAGTTGCACAACAGTTTCGTGGTGTTTTTTTTAAGGGTTTCTTCTAAAACAGATTATCTTTTGGAATCCAATGCTCTCTTATCAGGCCAACCGGAAACTTGTTTCTCCAACAGATCAAAGAGTTTGGGCTGGTTGAATGCAACAGGCTGGAATTAGATAAACTTGAAGAGAGACACAAATATTGTAAAACGTCTGCGTGTTTATTGTTTTAAAGCAATGTGGAAATCCAGATTTACCAGAGATCATTTGTACAGAAAGGATGGAAGAGCAGTTTTTAATTATCTGAAGTTAATTGCGATACTCACAACATTGTAATCAAGTATCACTTTCCTTTGGAAACATATGGCTTACTTTTTTATTCCCTTTACTAGAAATTGAATTAATTGTAAACTATTCAGAAGCTAGTAAGGGAGCAAGGCAGAAAGTACTTCTCGACTGATTGATCCACTCATTTGATCTTTATAACTTTGAGGAAAAATGAAATAGGAAATTCTGGAGCAGTACATTTGTAAGGTTAAGCTCTGGTTTCTATATTTAGACCAATGTAAGATCTGCTTTATTTACACAGTTAGTCCTTGACTTACAACCACAATTGAGCCTGAATTTTATGTTGCTAATGCAGGGGGGTCTTCAAACTTGACAGCTTTAAGACTTGTGGGTTTCAACTCCCAGAATTCCTCCTCCAGTCATGTTAGCTCAGGAATTCTGGGAGTTGAAGTCCACAAGTCTTAAACTTGCCAAGTTTGAAGCTAATGAATGACTTTTGCCCCATTTTATGACTTTTCTTGCCACCGTTGTTAAGTGAATTATTGCAGCTGTTGAGTGAGTAGCACATTTGTGAAGTGAATCTGGTTTCTCCGTTGACTTTGCTTGTCAGAAGTTTGTAAAACTGATGACATGACCCTGGGACACTGCAATTGTCATAAATATGAGTCAGTTACCAAGCATCCGAATTTTGGTCACATGATCTCAGGGATGCTGCAACAGTCATAAATGTGAAAAACGACCGTAAGTCATTTTTTTCAGTGCTGTTGTAACTTTGAGCGGTCACTAAAAGAATAACACAGGTAGTTGAGAACTAGCTGTATTATCCCTGTAATAGAGCTTTATATATTTGCTGCTATATTTGCTATAATACCTTTATTTGGATTATTAAGACCCAATTCTTACCTGACAGATGCTATTTGATTGATTGATTGAAGAATGTGAAAATGACACAGGAAGCTATTGGATTGTTGCCTTGGCATTTTAAGAACACAGATGTACCAAGACCTCATGTGGTCAGAGCACCTTCCAAGGGGCCACTGATAAAGACGAAAAGGTGGCAGTGGAAGATTATTAAATTCATATAGTATTGGCTATATTTATTTATTCTACTTTTCCTTTCATTGGGACTAAATTAAATCCTTAATTTGATCAGAAGGCTCTGCTTTTTCTTGCTTGCTTGCTTTTTCCCCCTTTTTTTGAATAGAGCTGGTGGGCAATTCAAATGTTGAAGGTCTAGCATGAAGGTTTCAGGTTATAGTGTGAACTTCAGAGGAAGAGTAACAGCACAAGTAGTCCTTGTTTAACGCCAGCAATGGGGACCAGAATTTCCATTGCTAAAACAACACTGTGGTAAAGCACAACATCATGGGACCTCAGTGCCTAGTGTCAGCAATCTCGCCAATTCCTGTTTTTGTCTTTAAGCAAGTGCCTCACTTGCAACTTCCTGCTGGCTTTTCCACAAAGTCAATGGAAAAGCCAGCAGGAATGCGCAAATCCTAGCCATCTTTACAAGCAGGCAGGCAAGTCCTTTGGAGTGAAGTGCATGTGGGATGGTGCAAGTTCTCGTGGGCTAGGCAGAGGGTGCTTCTGCCAAGCACAAGTGCGAAGTGTGTGTGGAGGAGCTTCTTGGGAGAAAAAGTGACAGGAGAGAGAGCTTGCCAACTTCCCCGTTGGCTTTGCTTGTGTGAAGCTAATAGGGAAGATTGCAAATGGTGATCGTGTGACCGCAGGACTGTTGTAAGTGTGAATCAATTGGCAAATGTCCAGATCTCAAGTCATGTGACTGAGGTGGTACAGCAAGAATCTTCAAACTTGGCAAGTTTCAGGCTTGTGGACTTCAAATCCCAGAATTCCTGAGCTAACGTGACTGGAGGAGGAATTCTGGGAGTTGAAGTCCACAAGTCTTAAAGCTGTCAAGTTTGAAGAGTCCTGTGGTACAGGATGGCTGGAACTTCAAGGACCGATCCTAAGTAACTTCAAGAAGTCATTGAATGATTGTTAGATTATTATTAATAGATGACTGCAACAATAACAACAACAATAATACCAAATAATAGTATTTTTCTAGGAGGTAAGTCAAATGAAAACTGTAATATAATACTTGGAATAATATTAGTATTCTGTCTCTTCTTTCTGTTTGATCTATCAAATACTATCAAACATGGAACTTGTTTTATCAATGGCTGGAAAAATGGTAACAATTAGGAATATAATTTGTTTTGTTAAACAAATAAAATAACCCAGACAACACAATGTTTATTAAGCACGAATTAAATGTAATAGTAGAAAATGAATAAAACTTAAATAAAAATCCTTGGAATAATGACCTCTTTGATCGTGTGTCAAGTCCCTGGCCTATTTAGGACTTTGTACTAAACTATTTTGCAGTGCCAAGAAAGAATTCGAAAGCTTTTGCTTTTATTTATTATTAACCACAACTATTCATTCAGTCTGAACCTAATCTGTGGTTCATCTAACTGTAGTTTAGAGGGGGGGAAAGGCCAATCTATACTATTTTTTTCAGGTTACTTTTTTTCAATAAATCAAAATTAGGATAAGCTGTGTTTGTTTAATAGTTGCTATAGGAAATAATATCATTCAGATACACATGGGATGTATATGCATCCTACCTTTTAAATTAAGATCCCCAGAAATATATGTTTCAATAAACAACTCCAGATTGTAAACCAAAAACCTCAGCCTTGTATCTAAATACAGTAGTTACAACATGCAGAGATAACACAGAGATAGAAATGTACAGCTGCACACACGCTGTAAGGGAATATGAGAAAATAACCAACCTTGGAGAGGATGTGATGGGTTTGTTTTCCTTTCTTTTGACAAATTAACAGAAGTATCCTGGAGCTATAGTAAAAATAATTGTATTTGACAAGGTAATAACACATATAAAGAACAATATGGATGCCTGATGTCTAGAAAATGAGTTTTCTTGTTGAAGTTTTGTTGGTATAAGACAGGCAATGAAAGCTGACCATTAAGTGTGCCACCTGCATGGGGGCTGATTGGAAGTATGGAATCACAGAGTTGGAAGGGACCTTGGAGGTCATCTAATCCAACCCCCTGCTGGAGCAGGAGACCCTTACAGAATCATAGAATGCATTCATATGTATCATAAAGCAGGGGTCCCCAACCACCAGTCCGCGGACCGGTATCGGTCTGTGGAACAAGTCCTACTGGGCCGCTGGCTTGCTGGGCGCCGCCATCTTGTTTTGATGAAAAAGTGCTTCTGGTGAGCTTTTCCGGGTAGAAAGCTCACCGGATCATCAAAACAAGATGGCGGCGCCCAGCGCTTCCGGAAAAAGCCATTTCTACCCGGAAAAGCTCACCGGAAGCGCTGGGCGCCGCCATCTTGTGTTGATGAAAAAGTGCTTCCGGTGAGCTCACCGGAAGCACTTTTTCATCAAAACAAGATGGCGGCGCCCAGCTGATGTCGGTACCGGGTCGCGCCATAAAAAAGGTTGGGGATACCGGGCCGCGGCGTAAAAAAGGTTGGGGATCACTGTCATAAAGTATTTCTTTACTGCGTGATGTGACCAGAAAATAAATTGTGTCTATGCCTTGCAAGCAACTCATTATTTTATATAAATAAAAGTCATATTGGTGATAAGTTATGATGTTTGGTATTTTGAGAGTTCAGTTAACAAAGGGACCTACTCTTTGGTTGTTGGAAAATATATTTTTTTTTCTTGATGATTCAGTGTATAATCTAGCAAATGGTTCACGTCAAACACCCAACCAAAAATGGAATTGTGTGGTTCAGTGACTCAACTACTACTTCCAGAATCTACTATCCCTCCAACTTTCTTAAAGGGAAGAAAAATATAAAATAAAATAAAATAATACAGATCTCTACAGATTCCTATAAAATAAAATAATACAGATCTGCGGCTCTGTAAAATCAATTGTGTAGTGTTCTCTATGGGATGGAGTACTGATATAGAATAGCTCAATGGAAATAAAATCTGTAGGGGACTGTGTTTCTGTTGGTTAAATAGCAGTAACAATTCCTGATGTGGCTTAAAATTCAGCGTCATTCTCTTTCCATTCTACTTAGTACTTTACAAAAGCAGGTTGCTTATTGCGAAGTAATTTACTATCATCGTGAATATCAAGTTCAGCATTCCTGAAGTTTTCTGTCCCTGAAAGGCACTAGTAGTTTTCCACGATGGGAACAAGAACCTTGTATTACTGCACTGCAGCTATTCCAATCTAATGACTGCTGGTTGAACAAGTTCTCCTTTATGGTTTTGATTCCCAAGGAATCTGATGTAGTAAGGGTGTTTCTGTTTTGGTCTCTCTCTCCCACCCACTCCACAAAATCTGGTATCCAGATGATGTAGCATGGAGTTAATTAAACAGAAATGTTATTTTTTTAGGTTCTTCTCTCCCTGGTTTCTATCTAAATAAGGTTAGCTAGAGCTTCTGCAGTTATCCTTTAGTTGGAAGAACAGGTAGCACAGATTGAAATACTTACTGTTAATCTTGTTTATTTGGTGTTTGTTTTTATTTCCTCCGTAGGCGTTTAAATACTTTAAACAAGTGTGCAATGATGAAACTAGAGATCAGCCCACACAGGAAACGGGTAAGTATATTTGACAAAACTATTGCAATATTGTACATAGTTGATGGGAATGACCCTGAAAATGCTCTCGTAAGCCACATCTGTATGTATTGACACAGAACAGGGGTGTCAAACTTAAGGCCCACAGGCCAGATCCAACCCAATCCAAGGTGCTTCGATCTGGCCCACGGGCGACCCTAGTAACACACAGAGGACTGGCCCGCCGTGCCGCTGCCCGTGAAAATGGAGCTCGCGCAGCCCCCACCCCCCCAGCTCCGTTTTCACTGCAGAAGGCTAGCGAAACAAACTAAAAACAAAACAACAAAAGGAGAAGTGTTTCCCCTTTTGCATGTGAGCATGCAAGAAGAGGCAGGAAAGGAAGAAAGGGAAAGAGGAAAGACAAAGAAAAATAAAGATGGGAGGGAGAGCAAGGGAGGAAAAATAAGGAAAGGAGAGAAAGGAAGAAGAAAGGAGAATGAAGAGGGAAGGAAAAAGAAAAGAAAGGAAGGTAGTTAGTTAGTTAGTTAGTTAGTTAGTTAGTTAGTTATAATGAGAGGGAGGGAGGGTCTGAAGTCCTGGTTTAGCCCTTGGCCACCATAGGTGCCGCCAACACAAGTGACGTCAAACTGGCCACGCCCACCCTGGCCACACCTGCCAATCCCCCCCCCGTCCCCACCCCGAGGTCAAACACAAGGCCCTCAACGAATTTGAGTTTGACAACTCTGACATAGAAGCACAATTGGCCTCTTCCTAGAGGAAGCACCACTCGGACAATTAGATTTCCTTCCAGCCTTTATTCACTTAATTATTTTTATATAAAGTTAAAGTTCACATGCCCAAAACAACTTCTTTGGTCAGGTTTTTAATTTTTGAAATATTAATATGGGTTTGAATAAGCCTTTATTTTCCCAAGGCGATACAAAAGGGTATATTCTAGCTTTCATCCCAGTGAAAATAACTTGTAACAAGAAATGACCAGGATCGGTTAAGGCGCTATTGGGTCCCAAAACCTATCTGAAGTTTTTGCTCTTCGTTTCAATATCAGAAGGGCTACAGAATTTGGCAGTAGATAGATTAGTAGCATTTTTTTTTAGAAGCATTTAATGGGGGTGCCTACTTTTTGTTTTATTTTGCATCCGTGTATTTTCATCGATTGTCAAACTACACCAGCAAAGCTTCCTTCTGCCTGAATAAAGACAATAGTTAAAACTGAATACTGTAAGAATGAATGTGACTCATTGGTTCTCATTAATGTACCTGATACAATCTGTTATGAAAAGTCTCTTTTCTGCTACTAAGTTATTTGATTTTTCTCTATGATAACTTTTTCTCTATGATAATTCTGACCTTCAGGGTTTTTGTACCAGAATGGCAACTGGTATTTATAATTCCTGGATTCTAACCTGGTGCTTTTACACATTAGGCCAAACTAGCAAACTTGGAAACCTTTAACATGAGCAAAGAGCTGAGCTGCTACAATTCAAACAGCTCGTAATTCTAGTGATGGCACAGTGGTTAGGTTGCAATATTGCAGGCTAACTCTCCTGACTGCCAGGAGATTTTGACCGGCTCAGGTTGACTCAGCCTTCCATCCTTCTGAGGTTGGTAAATGAGGACCCAGATTATTGGGGGCAATATGCTATCAACCGCTTAGAGAGGGCTGGAAAGCATTATGAAGCAATATATAAGTCTAAGTGCTATTGCCTTTGCTAGTGTGGTAAATCAATATAGGAAAACTATCAACAGGAACTAAGGTTGCAGAAATGTTGCCTTTATTGGTTGAGTAAAAAGCTTTTCCACATGTCCTAATTTTTCACGGATCTTAGTAGTATCCAGTATGACTGATGGAACATTAGACAATAAAGCAAAAAAATTTTTAATATCAACAAAATCACCTATGGGAGGGGGAGAGGAAGGAAGGAAGGAATTCTGAGTGTGTTAATGTCAGGTGAGGCTCCATTCAAAATCCAAGAAAGAAAACCTTAGACTCCATTGTTATATAGAGAAAAGGACTTTTTACTGGGAATTAAAGTGGTAACATCAAAAGGATTCAAGATCTGAGGCCTTGGGCGTGAAAATCACATATACAAAGTTATGGTAACGTTCCCACCCCCAATAGTTCAAACTGACCATCTAGGGCTGAGAAGTGTATAATGTCAGTGGGGCATCTTCAGGTGGTGTTTCAGGCATCTGCCTCGTCAGGACGGTTGGCCTTGGCCTGATTTGATAAGAAGCTACAAGTAAGCATAGTCAACAAAGTTTTCCCAAGTTTTACAATTCACCATCTCAAGCCTCCAGCACTCTTCCCCACCCCCACAAAGCCCAATTAATCTTCCCTCCCCCCATTTCTATGGCAGCCAGAAAGACAAGCAGAAGAAGGGTTCTTGAAGGCTGACATTTAATATGTTTTATTGAAAAATCACATTGGTCCAACCACCTAAAATCCTCAAGGTTAGGAATCAGGGATAGGAATCTCTGGCCTCTTCATCTCAGTACTTTGTTGCCACCTGGTAAGATATCAGTCAGAAAAAAACAGTATGGGAGCTGCTCAGAATATGAACAGAATATGAAGGCAAAAGCCTCTTGAAGATGATCTGAATATGGTTGGTAGTAGATTGGTTGTATATTTATATAAGTTGTGCTGCATGCTGTACAGATTACTTAGCAAGTGAGAAATGTTGGTATACGAAAGAAGGAAGAGCAGGCAGCTAGCCAGCCATCCGTTAAGGTATCTAGGTCACAAACCAGAAATAAACAAGTGCATATAAAAATCAAACAAGCAGGCAGGATACATTCCAATGGCCTTATTTGAGTCAATACCCAGCAATTCCAGTTGCTGAATGTTTTTTTTTTTCAAAAACACGGTTCTCGTTACAGTAATCATTAGTTAACCTGGAGTTCACATAGGGTTGGGTAGCTTCTGATTAAGATTTCTAGAAGATTTCAGACACTTCTCAATCTGGATTCTAACCTGGCCACAGGCAGTCTTGGGAACTGAAGATTTAGGGCAAGTTTGTGTGGTTAGGCACACCCAGATTTTAATAACTTTAGTGTTTTATAGATAATGATTAGCATTTTAAATTATTCTCGAAGGATTGAGAGTTGGTGACATTGTGACCTCTGTAATGCCACATGGAGTACTCTTTTTAAAAAACTGAAATACATAATCCATCACCCACTTGGTGAACTTGCGATGCAGTAAGTGAACTATGGGATTAGATGTATAGCAATGCTTCATGGAGATGAAACTAAAGGAATCCCTTTAGTTCTTAGCCGAGTTGATTTGCAAGAAAGTATAGGATCCACAAGAAGAAATGTATACCTAATTTTGTAGCCAGATCAGTTCCTAGATTTCTCACTTCGTTCAGCCCTGCCAGTTGCAATCCCTTAGCAAAGGGTGGAGCTTATTCATGGTATCCTGTTTCGTTGCAGAGTGAAGATTCAGATGAAGATGAGCCTTGTGCTATCAGCGGAAAGTGGATGTTCCAGCGAGAGAGCAAGAGGTGGTCCAGACTGGAAGAATTTAACATTTTCCCTCCGAAGTTTGATATGAATTCTACATCCCCGGAAGTGGCTCATCTTAGCAGTGCGACCAGTCATGAGAGCATGCTGATGGAGCAGAGCGAACATCAGGAGGTAGCTTCCATCCACAGCATGAGCAGCAATAACAGCCAGCCAACTACCTCCCACAGCGATGCAGTCGCCACCAGGACAAACTCGGTCATTAGCATCACCTCTTCGGGAAAGCTTGCGGCCAATGAGGGAATCCTGCCCCCCGTCAGAGAGTTGTCGAGTTTCGGTTGCAGTGTGAAAGCCAACGAGAAGAACACCAAATCCAAAACAAGGAGCTTGCTGAAGAGGATGGAAAGCCTGAAGATTAAAGGCTCTCCTCATGGGAAAAGTAAAGCTCCTTCCAAGCTTGGCCTGATAATCAGCGGTCCGATTTTGCAAGAAGGCATGGGCGAAGAGAAACTGAAGCAACTTAACTGCGTGGAGATCTCCACTCTCAACGGCAATCACATCAATCTCCCGATGGTTCGCAAGAGAAGCGTTTCCAACTCCACGCAGACCAGCAGTAGCAGCAGCCAGTCAGAAACAAGCAGTGCGGTGAGCACGCCCAGCCCCATCACGAGGACGCGCAGCCTCGGCGCCTACAACAAGCGTGTGGGGATGTACCTGGAAGGCTTTGATCCTTTCAACCAGTCGACATTTAATGATGTCATGGAACAGAACTTTAAAAACAGGGAGAGCTTTGCAGAAGATGCAGTCTTTTTCATCCCCGAAGACCACAAACCCGGAACGTTTCCCAAAGCCCTCTCCAACGGTAATTTTGCTCCACCAAAGAGTAGTTCGGTGAACTGGAGAACGGGAAGCTTCCATGGACACGGACACCTTTCTCTCCGGCGCGAGAACAGTTCCGACAGCTCCAAGGATATGAGCCTAGGACGGAGGCGCAACTCCTCCAGTTCGGTGTGCAGCCGGCTCAGCATTTATGACAACGTGCCGGGTTCCATGTTGTATTCTAGCACAGGAAATCTGGCTGATCTGGAGAACGAGGACCTCTTTCCTGAGCTCGACGACATCCTGTATCACGTCAAAGGCATGCAGAAAATTGTGAACCAGTGGTCAGAGAAGTTTTCTGATGAAGGGGACTCCGATTCAGCTCTGGACTCCATTTCTCCATGCCCTTCATCTCCCAAGCAAATCCTGCTCGATGTGGACAATGATAGGACCGTGCCCAGTGATCTAGACAGCACGGGAAATTCACTGAATGAAACGGAGGAGGCTGTAGGGATCCAGGAGAGAAGGGATTCTGGGGTGGGGGCATCACTGACCCGCTCCAACAGGTCAGTGGACAGAGATTTTAGTCCAAGAAGAGTAGCAAATATGAGAGTGAAATACATGTTCATGTATATGCGCATAAATATTTTTCATATTCAACTTTGTTAATCAAACGTGGGAAGTCATGTTGTTAATCTTGCCTTTTATGCCAGAAGGTAGAAAATTTCAAAGTCAAAGAATCAACTAATGTAGCCGGTCATCCATAATGGCTCAAGTTTGTTTGAAGGAAACTTCAGGACTTTATGAAATGAAAAGTAAATTTAAAATACCTTTCATATTTATTAAATAAACAGACGAGGCAGGGAAAAGAGTAATTTGAAACAATGCAGGGAAATCTGCTTGTCCATCATCATCCTTTCTTCTGTGGGAGATGTCTTCCAAACATAATTTTAAAACACGCAGTGATTGGAGGCATCAAGGAAAGTTTTCAGTCTTAACGTTCTCCAAATAGAAGATAAATACTGCAGGCATATTCTTGAAAAGCAACAGATTGATGCAGCCAGCAGCCCATCCACTGGGTTGGAAATGATTCACATCAGAATATTTTTGGCTTGATAAAGGACAGCGCAATATATTCTTACATTACAATTGTAATGTTTTGATTTTTCTAAAATATTCAAACTAGTTGTTTTTCTAGACAACAAGATTTTTGTACTTGGCAATTATGTTGCAGAAGCTATATAGAAATTAATTGCCTTTCCTTTTGGTAGAACATAGCTTATATGCTATAAAAAGAGATGAGCAGATATTACGGTAGGAGTGACACAAAGTAATTCTTAATTGCCTTCCATAGAATAAGAAAAGTTAAATTATCCAAGTGTAGTGGTGTAGCTGGCTAATATTGCTGATTATGTTACCACTGAATGCCAAATTATCTTTTTCCTGTTTTGTTCTGTGTCATGGATTATCTGAGAAACACTGAACACAAAGAGACCTAAGTTATGCCAGGTTGCTCTCATGTTTATTGCATGTGACAGTGTCTAGATAGTTCTTCCTCCACTGTGTCATTTTATTACAAAATCCTTTGAGAAAATTTTGATCCAGATTCATGAATTCTTTGTTCAGATGTTTGTGTGCAGGCAAACAATCCAATTTAACTTTTCTACATTTGGTTTATCAACGTTCATATTTTCAATGGGGTCAGTGCAGATAAAATTCTTCCAGTATAAACAGTGTCTAAGTACAGTAAATATTCAAACATTTGACAATTCAAACAAACTCTAGTACCATACATTCTGCACAAATAGGTAAAAAAAATATCATAGAAATCTGAGGTTCTGAAGCAAGATTGTTTAATAATTCCCGTAGGCAAATCTATACAGGTAGTCCTTGACGTACGATCACAATTGAGCCCAAAATTTCTTAAGTGAGAAATTTGTTAAGTGAGTTCTGCCCGATTTTACAACCTGAACGGTCACTAAAACGATCTGTTGTAAGTCTAGGACTAGCTGTTTTGGGAGACAATTCAAAATCACTCCGTTGCTTCGGCTTTCCATTTGTTTTAAGACCCATCTACGTTATTCAAAATCATTCACGTTGTTGTTTCTTTCTTTTTGAAAGACACAGAATGAGGTGGCATAGCTTTCAGAGTTCCCATCGGCCCAGCTTAAGTTCAGTTGCCTTACAGATCGACTGTCAATCCGTTGCACAGATGAACTTGCTGCAGAAGTATTCCCTTCTGAAACTAACTGCCCTCTTGGAGAAATACACGCCTTCCAACAAGCATGGTTTCAACTGGTAAGGAAATGTGTGCATCTCTAGGAAGCCTGTGACTAGTCAGAACCTACAAGTAATAGGACCTACCGTTAATTCTTGAGTCTTGATTCCTATCCAACCCAGCTGGGTTGTTGTTTTTTTAAGGGGGAAGTGAATTGGCTCTGAAGGATAAATATTGGTTTTTTAAATATCTGTTGTGGTTCACCGACAGCCGGTGCAGATAGCAGCGGACAGTGGGGAAGAATGAGGACCAGTCTGGAGAGGACTCAAACAAGGGTCCTGCGTCCGATGCAGAGATGGGGCCAGGACCATCTGGGAGTCGGGTGCTGCTGCCGGAGGCTCTGGAGTAGCGAGGCAGAGGAGGGGGGAGACTGTTCCCAGTGCGCGCGTTCACAGAGCTGCCAAAGGCAAGAGCAGCTGAGACAAAAGGGGCGACTCGGGAGTAAGGCTTGGAAGTGATTGCCCCTCCCATAAGACATAAAGGAGGTGCAAAGGTAGAGAAACCTTTGCAGGAAGCAAAGTCGTTCACTCTGTTCGGATTAAACCTTGAAGCTCTGTGTGGACTTTGTACTTTGTGTGGTTTTTTTACAGTTAATTTGACTGTTTAGTTGTTGGCAGCAGTTCAAAGGAGATAAAGGTGGGTGCTTATCTCAAGGGACTGTTTGGGACTCATTACAGGCTGGGAATGAACATAATTCCCAGCACTGAAATAAAACAAGAGTTGTTTGGACTAAGTGTATACTTAATGATGGTCTCAGGAAGCCTTGGTCAGAACAATATCTAAAGCAGGGTTGTCGAACTCCCAGTCCATGGGCCAGATGCATCACATGCTGGCCACGCCCATGCCCAGTTTAGCGAATGGGGAAAAAGTCCTGATACGTCACATGATGCCGCCAAGATGACATGAGTTTGACATTCCTGATCTAAAGGGAAGAATTTCACCACAGTTGTTAATAAATCCCTCTGTATCCTATTCAAACTTCAAATTGCTGATAAATGCATGATCATTACCGTAAAACAGGCATGGACATGCTGATGCTCTCTAGATATTTTATTTACCATTCCCAAGACTTTTATCGAAGGCCATGAAAATTGGATAAAATCCAGAACATTTGACAGACACTACCTGGCCTGACATTAGAATATCCAAACATTTATATCCATTGGCTAAACAGTACACTCCAGATCAAAAATGTTTGTTTTTAAAAAATCATAATTTCCATTTGTAGCACCCAAAAAAGTACAACGTATTTTTGCAGGAGGCTATCACATTTAATCACTGCTTCAACATCTGGCTGACCCCTTCTCCTCCCCTCCCCCCTTTTGTCTAGGACGGAGTATTTTTAAGTCCCTCATCAAAGCTCTTCCTATTCAAACGCTGTGATTATGGGAACCTGTGCTAAATTCAGAAGAAGTTGTTTGTCCTGAAGGACCGAAATAAGCGCAGAGCAGTTTGCATGCTTTAGATTCTCAGTGGGCGTCATCATATATGTGTCCGTTTTCATTTTCCATTGCATTCCATCCCTGTGTATTTTAACAAAATGAAAGCGACGCACAGGCTTTTATATCAATAACACTCTTTCAGAACTGTGGAAAATATAAATGAGGTGGGGTTGCTCGCCTGTGAACGAGAGTCATTCATAGAGCTAAAAATAATCACGCCATTGAGTTCGAGTTTCTTTGGCGTTTGACATTCCCAGGTCTGCCGTGTTGCCGAAAAGCTTTTTGGTTGCTCTCCACTAAAAATTCTTCAATGATTTTAAATAAAATAGCAGCATTCTGATATATTAAAGGGTTGAAAGAGAATGGAAAGGCCTTTTTACCCAAGTGAGTACGAAGAGGTGGTTGGAAAGGAAGAGGTTTTTTTTGGAGGGGGGCAGTCGGGGCGGGGGGCTGTGTCTGAAAAGACCATTTGTCGAAATGAAGCTTATTTCTGGCAAACACCCATGTATTACATCAATTTCCTTCTGCGACACAAGCTGGTGGGTGGCAGAACATGTTTGAGAGCTTTCTAAAGCAAACCATTTAGTACACAAAAAGTTCATTGTTCACGTGTCCATCTTCCCTCAAGAGTCCTGAACAAGCAAGATTATAAAGGGTCATTGACTGCTAGATCTGTATTTGATTCTTATTTGTGTTGTCACGGCCACCCTCATTTTCTCCTCTACCTATTGACCCGGCAGATTAACTAAGCAATTACTACTTCTATATTCATTGATTTATTCTCTGGTAAGCTCTTAAGACTTTTTTTTTTAAATGTGAGCAGCAAATTTGTTCAGGTGTGGCCCCAAAATTCAAATTGGATTTCGCTTTTTGCTTTTTTAAAAAAGAAGAAGAAGAAGAAGAAGTCTGCACTGATATTGGCATATTGGAGGGAAATGATTTCCTAACTGAATGGATGGGTTTCAAAGAAAAGACGCTCAATTCGTGGAAAACACGACAGCTTTCATTCAAACGGTGATGATGCAAAGGAAGAGTATATCTGCTTGCTTTTCAAGGCTCGGCTGCTGATTTTTAAGAAAAAAAAAGCAAATGAAGAAAGTGCTGACTCCCAGTTGTTTGCAAAGTTACTTTTGCCCTTTGTGGCTAAGAACTGGAATATTCTGGAAATGCAGATCCAAAAAAATCCTTGTTGCAAATACAGGTAGTCCTCGAACTTATGACCACAGTTGAGCCCAGAATTTATGTTGCCAAGTGAGAAATTTGTTAATTGAGTTTTGCCCGATTTAATTGCTTTTCCTGCCCCTGTTAAGTTAATTACTGCAGTTGTTAACTTAGTAACCCAGTTGCTAATCTGTCTTCCCTACTGACTTAGCTTGTCAGAAAGCCACCAAAGGCGATCATGTGACTGTCATAAATATGAACCAGTTGTCAATGTTAAATCACATGACCACGGGGATGTTGCAATGGTCATAAAGCGTGAAAAACGTTCATAAGTCCATTTTTTTCAGCGACTTCAAACTTCAATTTAGTAACTTTCAAACAGACACTAAATGAACTGTTGTAAATCAAGGACTACCTGTCATAATAATTTCTACCTACGCCTGTTCTGGCCCTTCGTCAAATGTAATTAAACACAAACTTGTTTTAAAAGCAAAACCTATTTTATTGCAATGCTGGGAATTACTTTTGTTCCCAGCTAGAATTAATTATAAACAGTTCCCCAAGATAAGCACACACCTTTCAGTGCTGTGGAATGTTGCCAAAAACAGAAGTATCCAATTATAACAGAAACCAACAGAAATACCAGAAAAAACCAACAAGAGCTGCAAGGAAGACTCAGCATCTATCGAACTACTTTGCTTCCTGCAAAGGTTTTGTCATTGAGGTCTGACTTTTATTCCTTATGGGAGGGGCAATCACCTCCCAGCCTTACTCTCGAGTCGCCCCTTCTGCTTCAGCTGCTCTTGCCTTCTAGCAGCTCTGCGGACACGCATACTGGGAACAGGCTCCCCTGGATCCTCTACTTCACTTCTGCCAGACTCTGGAGGCTCCAGAGTCAGCACCCCACTCCCAGATGGTCCTGGCCCCACCTCTGCATCGGATGCAGGACCCTCATCCAAGTCCTCTCCAGACTCCCTGACTTTCCTCAATGTTCGATACCGCTGCCATCTGCACCGTCTGCCAGCGAACCACAATACAGTCTTAGACTGTGAATCTAACTATTGATTGCATGATGATGATGATGATGATGATGATGATAGAAGACTTCGAAGTAATACCTAAAGGACTCCCACTGTATTTGAAAATACTGCATTTTTGAGACCCAATTCCTGTATCCTAATTTTAAACAAAACCATCATGTCTGGGACTGCCTCTCTTCTTAGATACTGGTTTGAATTATTAAGTTTTCCTCAGTCTTACCTGTTAATCTAAATCAGAGGTCTCCAAACGTGGCAACTTTAAGACTTGTGGACTTCAACTCCCAGAATTCTCCAGCATAGCTGGCTGGAAAATTCTGGGAGTTGAAGTTCACAAGTTTTCAAGTTGGCAGGTTTGGGGACCCCTGTTCTAAATGTAGATTATCCACACAATATAAGATAACAATAACAACAGCACTGATTAAAATACAGATAGTCCTTGACTTACGACCACAATTAATCCCCAAATTTTAGTCGCCAAGTGAGACATGGGTCAAGTGAATTTTGCCCCATTTTTACAATCTTTCTTGCCACCGTTGTTAAGTGAATCAACTGCAGGTTTTTAAATGAGTAACATGGTTGTTCATAATTGACTTTCCCATTGATGTCGGTTGTCAGAAGGTCGCAAAAGGGGATCACTGGGGGCCCTGTAAAGGTCATAAATGTGAGTCAACTCCCAGGCATCTTCCTTTTGATCACGTGACCATGGAGATGCTGCAACGGTCATAAGTGGGGGAAAAACGGGCATAAGTCATTTTTTTGGTGCCATTGTAAACATTCAGTGGTCACTAAATGAACTGTTGTAAGTCAAGGACTACCTGCAAAGAAAAAGGAATTATTTCAACCATGCTTGAAAAAAACATTTAAAAACTGTTCATGGCTCTTCTCCCTAATATTACTTATTTTTTAAGGGTTGTTTTTTTTCACCCATGTCTTTTTCTTAACATCGCAGAATTATTGCAAATTTCAGTGCCTTAATCGGGTTTTCTGTGCTGCTATTTTCAGTCACGAGAAATGTTTTCTGGCGTATTTTTTTTAAGCTCCCTGCCAAAGAGTTGGAAACAGAATCATACGGGCCCGTGGTGGGATTCAAAGATTTTCACCACCGGTTCGGTGGGTGTGGTTTGGTGTGGGCGCGCTTTGCATGCATTGCACACAATTTGCGTGTGCGCCAAATGCGCACTTTGTGCAGGCGCAGAGGGGTTCCAAGTCACCTCCTGCAAGCCTGCACTCTCCCAGTCGCTTCAGCAGCTGCCGCGCAGCACTTTGCTGTGCCGCGCAGAGTAGCTGCGCTTCAAAAGTGGGAAATAAAGGTGAGTACAGGAGCCCAGGCGGGTGAGCCCAACAGCAGAGCGGTGGAGAGAACCCGTTTGGTCTCCACTGCTCATTGGCATTACCAGCTCGGCAGAACCGAGCTGAACCGATAGAATACCATCATTGATACGGGCCCTATTTGAGAGAAGCAACACAGAGGGCTATTAAAGACACAACGTTGTTGACGAGATTATTTCTGATCTTCCACAGGGCTGTGCCAAAATTTATGAAAAGGATAAAAGTCCCAGATTATAAAGATCGAAATGTGTTTGGCGTTCCCCTAATCGTTAATGTCCAACGTACCGGGCAACCTCTTCCGCAGAGCATTCAACAAGCTATGAGATACCTTCGTAACAACTGTTTGGATCAGGTGAGCGTCTTCGCATTGGTCTAGGATTGGGATCTTCCACTGTGAGCGATGTTCATTTTTCCTGTTGTCTGTTAGTGCTGAAGTTGCATTGTTGAATGAATGAATGAATGAATGAATGAATGAATGAATGAATGAATGAATGAATGAATTCTTTATTGGCCAAGTGTGATTGGACACACAGGAATTTGTCTTAGTGCAAATGTTCTCAATGTACATAAAAAAAAGATACATTTGTTAAGAATCATAAGGTACAACACTTAATAATAGTCATAGGGTATAATCAACAATCAAATCATACTAGGAAACAGTCAATATAAATCGTAAGGATACAAGCGACAAAGTCACAGTCATACAGTCACAAGTGGGAGGGGAGGGGTGATAAGGAGTGATGAGAAGATTAATAGCAATAATAGTGCAGACTTTGTAAATAGTTGGACAGTGTTGAGGGAATTATTTGTTTAGCAGAGTGATGGCGTTTGGGGAAAAACTGTCCTTGTGTCTAGTTGTTCTGGTGTGCAGTGCTCTATATAGCATCGTTTTGAGGGTATTAAGTTCCTCTATTAGAATAGATAGTCAAGTGAATATATTTATGATTAGATTGTAATCGTGCCCCCTCCCCCGCCCCCCACCCCGAAAAAAATACTATACAATAAAACCATACTACAAAAAAGATGTTGAGACTTTGGAGAAGGGCAACTTCAGAGAAGGGCAACTAAGAGGATCAAAGACCTGGAGGCTAAACCATACAAAAAACAGCTGCAGGTTTTGGGTCTGGCTAGTTTAAAGAAAAGAAGAATTAGGGGTGACGTGATAGCAGTATTCCAGTATTTGAAGGACTGCCACGAAGAAAAGGGGGAGGTCAACGTATTCTACAAAGCACCAGAGGGAAAGATATGATGGTTGGGAATTAATCAAAGAGAGAATTGAGGAGAAACTTCCTAACAGTGAGGACAATAAACCTGTCATGCCCCTGTTGGAGTCGGACTCTGAGGGAGAGGAGGAACAGCCAACAGGGAGTGGAAGTGTGGCTCCGGAAGTTGTGGAGGAGTCTGGGGAAGGGCAGAGGCTGGCCGGGCAGTCAGAGGAGGACCCAGGCCCATCCCCTTTCCATTCTAGGGCACACAGGAAGGAGAGGATAAGGGAGAGACGTGAATGGCATGGTCTGTGGGGGAGGAAAGGGCCTTGATCCTCTTCATGGGCTGCAGCTGTGAGAACTGGTTAAAAGGACGGACATGCGTATGGGCCAGTGCTGGAAACAAAGCGTGGAAATATCTGAGTTTGACGTCCTTCCCAGTGTGTGTTCAGATATCTGTGGACATCTTCAAGCCCTTATCTTGCCTGATTCCCTTAATTGCTTCAGTGTGGTTTGTGTTGTTTTTACTCTTTATAATTTGTAGGCATTTCCTCTATTTCTTGTAATGCTTATGGGGGAGTTTTTTGTCTCCAGTCAAGGATATTTGGAGCTTTGAAGCAAAGTGAAGGAATAAAAGGGCCTTCACCTGTTTTTGTGACTGTGCTTATTTTGTATCCCACGCTGGGTCATCACAGAACCAGTGGAATAACTTGCCTTCAGAAATCGTGGGCACTCCATCACTGGAGGTTTTTAAAAAGAAACTAGACAGGCACTTATCTGAAATAATATATGTTCTCCTGCTTGAGCAGGGGGCTGGACTAGAAGACCTCCAAGGTCTCTTCCAGCTCTATTCTATTCTAAATATGTCCAAAAGATCTATGTCCAAATATCAATGTCTATGCCATCTAACCATTGAAGCAAAGCACTGTTTCTATTTTAAAAAAACACAATACTGGATTGGTATATGCCCTCAGCTTACAACCGAGGTTATATACAGGTAGTCCTTGACTTACAATGGTTTATTTACTGACTGTTCAACGTTACAACGGCACTGAAAAAAGTGACATCACCATTTCTCACATTTACAACCTTTGCAGCTTCCCCATGGTCACGTGATCAAAATTCAGATGCTGAACAACTGGTTCATACTTACGACTGTTACTGTGTCCCAATGTCACATGGTCCCCTTTTGCGACTTTCTGACAATTTACTTAACAACTGGGTTTCTAACTTATCAACTGCAGTGATTCACTTAACAACTGAGACCGGAACAGTTGTAAAATGAAGCAAAATTCACTTAACAACAGAAATTTTGGGCTCAATTGTGGTCGTAAGTCAAGGACTACCTGTACATAAAACTCATTTTATTGGGTTCTGCTAATCTAGGTGAAATTTATATTGCTATTCCATGTATGATATGCCCTACGCTAAATAAGTCCCCTAAACACTTAACCTCTCCTATACAGGTATGCTAGCAAAAAAATAGCTTATGGTATAATTCCAGACTAGCCTGTGTATAGTGCTTTTTAATGCAGTGAGACATAATTTTTCACATCAAAATTAATGTGACAAAATATAGAAAGGGCTGCACAACCTGTTATTCACTCACCAAAATCAGCTCTTGAATTGAATCCCAGTGCCACAGGTAAAAGTGTTATTGGTAACGGCTTCCTGATTGTGTGACACAAACACTTTCCTTTTGTCGCGCAGGTTGGCCTTTTCCGAAAATCTGGAGTCAAGTCAAGAATCCAGGCCTTACGTCAAATGAATGAGAATGCAATAGGCAAAGTGAATTATGAAGGCCAGTCTGCTTATGATGTGGCTGACATGCTCAAACAGTATTTCCGCAACCTGTCAGAACCTCTCATGACCAACAAGCTTTCAGAGACATTCTTACAGATCTACCAGTGTAAGTCACTCCGGTTCATAGTTTCCCAAATACTTGTTCTGTCCTAGGCCTCCCCAAAAAGCACTAAGTCAATTCTGAGTCCCAGCAAAAACCTCTTTTATTACATTAATGTGAATTTGTTTCATTCACAGTCAGCCAAAGGCTTGGGAAACAGTCTTGCAAAGGTATACTAAATGAGCTCAGACCTTTATCAATCCTGGAACGCTGCCCGGTAAATAGGTCCACACTCAGTGCTGGCAGGGAAGGGCTGGGTTATACAGACAAATCTCCATGAAGCTGGAACAAACAAATGACCCAAACGAGCAAGTTGTTTCCTGCAAAAGTCCCCGTCCCCTTTTGCTCCTCTTTTAATCCTGATGGGAGGGGGCCGTTAACCATCCACCTGTGGCCTTACTCCCACGTTGGCCCTGAGTTCTTAATTGTGCCTTCCTTTTGGCAGCTCCGTGCATGCGCAAGCAGGGAACCGGTTAGCTCCCCTGCCTCACTGCTGCCCGAGCCCGAAGGCAGCTGATGACTGCCAGCCTGCCCTGGCCCCATCTCTGCCTCTGATGCAGACACCTCCTCCGAGCCTTCCTCGGCCTCTAGGAATGGCCCAGGTTCCTTCCCAACCTCCTCACTACTGTCCGACTCTGCTGCGGGCCCCAACAATACTCACTTTTCCTCTGGCCCAGACAAAAGAATTATTTTTAATATGTCATAGTTCGATTGGTTTTTATGTGTTTTACTTTTATGCATTTCCTTTTATTATATGCATTGCCCAGAGTCACTATGTGAGATGGGCAGCTATACAACTGATAAATCACAAGTCCATAAGTGATAAATGAATGAGTCCATATAAGGTCAGCCAGGGTTGTTGTTTTTAGTAAGGAACTTTAATCCATGGATTGATGGAGGCTTTATCGTTTCCAGAATATACCTTTCCATGGGTTTATATTCCCCTCTGTAAGAATTTCCCACCTCCAAGAAGACCTTACTATGGTAGATTGTAACTCTTGCATTTTGGGAATTCTTTCCCTTTAGTGCATCAAAGTGTACTAAATATATCTGCTTTTCTTTCAACTTTGTTCCCCTTTATCAAATTTTACGCAGTAAACCAAGGCAAAATGTGGCATTGGAGTATTTGCTGTGCTCTATAACCAAAGCTTTGTGTGATAGTCATATCTCTACAACTACAGATTCTTTTCTTTGCTCTGTCTGCTAGTTGAAGTACAGCCTGGATATTTTGTTGGGTCAGATCAGGAATAGTTTAAAGGGCTATTTGCTTTCAATGGCTTTCCAGTTGAGGAACATGCTTGACTGGTGTATACAAATCTTTCTTCCAGTTCTTGTCGATGGAGTTTAATGATAAAGTATCTGTTGCTACGCCTGGTTCCTAAACTGAACAATCTAATTTGTAAAAACCCCTTTTTTTTGGCCATTCTGCTGCTCTCAAAATTAAGTTCTAAATTTAACTCTGGCATATTTAGGGCTTTGTTTTACCCTTGAGTCTCTCACTAAGCAGGAAATACCTGAGGGCAGTTATGCTGTTGACCCCCCCCCCCCCCCCCCAAAAAAAGAACATTCTTTCATTTACCATGAATGGTAAGCAGCACGCTAAAGGAAATTGCTTGAGACTAAAGTCAAAAATAGCCAAATTAAAGAGTTTGCTTTGGGTTGCATTCATGCTGCATGGGTGGAAAATCAATGAGTTGATGAGAAGACTTCTAATTTTGTGCAGATGTGCCAAAAGACCAGCGCCTCCAGGCCATCAAGGCAGCCATTATGCTTCTACCAGATGAGAACCGAGAAGTCCTGCAGATTCTTCTGTATTTTCTGAGTGACGTCACGGCTGCTGTGAAAGAAAACCAGATGACGCCAACAAATCTGGCGGTGTGTTTGGCACCTTCTCTTTTCCACTTGAACACCCTCAAAAGAGAAAAATCTTCCCCAAGGTAAGTCTCCATATTTGTTCTACCTGAGTTCCAATGGTTGCTCCCCTGTTGAAGAAGCTTTTTCTTTCAATTTTGTCACTCTTTTGTTTTAAGGGGAAAAAATGTTTCTCCCAAACTGTTTTGTATTTAAGTTGCTATCCTGTAAAAAAAATACAAGATATTGGTTTTATTTATGTAGAGCTATGATTTGTAAACCACCAATTTTCAGAAGTTGCATGTGTTCTGACCGAGGCTTCCCAAGATCATGAAGCCAACTCTTCATCCCAATAAGACCCCTTTTATTTCAGTTAAAGTGAATTCTTCTCCAGCAAAGTCCCAGCAAAAAGTCTTTCATGAGATTTCACAACTACAGGCCTTTATCAGGCTTGGAGAGTTGCCAGGCCGATAACTTCCAAATGCCACTCTGCAGCAGACAATACTTGGCAAGAAGTCAGGAACAGATCTTCACCCTAATGAATTGAACTAATTGTCTCCTGCAAACACTCCTTTCCTGTCTCCTTTCGCTCCTCTTGATTCCCTATGAGAGGGTCCATTCACCGTCCACCTGAGCCTTTACTCCCGAGTCGATCCTTGTTCCTTAGCTGTTCCCTTCTCCTGGCAGCTCTGCTCATGCGCACACTGGGAACAGGCTCCAGCTGTCCTGCTGCCCAACTGATCTCCAACTCTGAAGGCAGCTGATAACTGTCTGATGGCCCTGGCCCCATCTCTGCCTCCGACACAGAGCCCTCATCAGAGCCTTGCCCAGACTCCAGGACTGGCCCATGTTCCTCCCCAACCTCCTCACCGTCCGAGTCTGACTCCAGTTCCACTGGCCACTGGCGGGCCACAACAGCATGTTATTGTGCCCATATGTCATCTCTCAGTTCTTTTGCCAAAGAAATTTACTCAGCATCTGTATGTGAAGGTTTTAGAACCATAGGGCTGGATGGTCAAGACAGGAGACTTATTCCCAGTCAAATGGGTATCCAGTCTACATTGATATTTCAAAAATCAAAGCCTGATCAAAGAGGTTGGTTTTGGCTGGCGAATTACCTTAACCTTATATAAAAATAATTAACAATACAGTCCGATGAATAGAGACTTGAAGGAAGTTTCATTGTCCTGAGTGGTGTTTCCCCTTGTAGGTGGTTTTTAATTTCAGCATAAGATTGCAAAGGAGATCAGAGGGGCTTATTTCTATGTCAGTACCCATAGATGTGGATTGTAAGAACCTTGATCAGGGTCATTTCCATCAATTATACCATCCATGACAAGTCAAGGTCCACGAGAGAAGCTGAAAATAAATACACTTAGATGCAGAAAATCAAATTTAAAAATAGGTTTTAGATGCAGTCCCTACCTTTTGCTTTAATTATTCATTTACAGACCAGCCGATTAGTGTATTCTGATCTCCTTATATTGATTAGTCTTGTTCATTCATTGATAGGGTAATGCAGAGAAAACAGAGTCTGGGAAAACCAGATCAGAAAGACCTAAATGAGAATTTGGCTGCAACTCAAGGCTTGGGACATATGATTGCTGAGTGTAAGAAGCTTTTCCAGGTGAATATTTGCCTATTTGCTCTTTTTAACGTCTTGAACTAGTATTCTGTAGAGGTTGTGTCTTTGTTCTTGGCACCTAATGTTCTTTCTGGCAGCTATCCTTGCTGGAAAGCAACATAAGGGCTTACAATGGCCAACTGTCAAAATCTGCACTCTTCCCACATAAAAGGACTTTATGATGTCTAACTCCGTGTGTCCATCTGTGTCTCCGTCTCTGTATGTCTGTGTGTGTAAATTGGGGTTTGGGTTTTCTGTGCATGCACTTCAGTGGTGGTAGAACTACATAATCTTTTTGGGGAGATTAGATTGGGTCCTGCTGTCGCTGAAGTGCTACAATATTATTGACAGCCACTTTCAGAACAAAGAAAACAACACAAATGTTGGCTCATCATCGTGAACCTCCAGTTATCGACTCCCTGTTTTATTCATTTCCTAAATCTTAGATCCCGGAAGAAATGAGCCGATGTCGGAATTCTTACACAGAACAAGACCTTCGACCTCTCAGCTTTGAGGACTTGGGACAAACTAATAACTCGGAGTTTGCCAGTTATCATTCTTGTATCCAGGATTGTATGGATGATTTTTTCAAGGAAATAAAGGATAAATTTAAGGGCTGGGTCAGTTGTCCCACCCCGGAACCAGCAGAACTTGCCTATAAAAAGGTACAGTATATCAGCATATTTCTAGTGTTTCTGCATAGTTTTTAACAGACAAAAATTAATTTAAATAGTCAGTCTTCCTTCAGTCTCATGCATTGTCTTTCTGTAACCCATACACTCAATCGTTCAATACCATCATTCCAGAAATTCGCTAAATTGATCTAGCTTACTGTATCTGCTCATATTTGTAGGTGGATTATCAGGTTTTTGACAGATAGGAAGCAACAGATGAGACTAGGGAAAATTATATCTAGTACCCAAGCAATGAGTACAAGTGTCCCTCAAGGCTGTGTGCTCTCTCCATTGCTCTTTTCCCTCTGCCAATGACCACTTCAAGGAAACCCCTGTTGACGTTCTGACGTTTACAGACAATACAACAGACGTTAGCCTCGTTTGAGACGGTGATGAGTCTGCATACAGATGGGAGATTGAACAACTGGCCCTGTGGTGGTAACAATCTGGAGCTGAATATGCTTAAAACTGTAGAGGTGGAGGTGGGTTTTTGGAGGAACCTGTGTGTTTTATCACCTCTTACCACATTTGACAGCACAGTATCAGCAGTACAGTCCATCGAATTTTGGGGCTCTATAATCTCCCAGAATTTGAAAGGAACAGTTAACATTAGGTAAAGGTATACATGCTAATCGTTTCCAGCTCTAGGGGGGTGGTGCTCATCTCCGTTACAAAGCCGAAGAGCCAGCGCTGTCCGGAGACGTCTCCGTGGTCACGTGGCTGGCATGACTAAATGCCGAAGGCACACGGAATGCTGTTCCCACCAAAAGTGGTCCCTATTTTTCTACTTGCATTTTTACATGCTTTCGAACTGCTAGGTTGGCAGAAGCTGGGACGAGTAACGGGAGCTCACTCCGCTACACGGCGCTAGGGATTCGAACCGCTGAACTGCCGACCTTTCTGAACAACAAGCTCAGCGTCTTAGCCCCTGAGCCACTGTGTCCCTTTTTACAGTTAACATTAGAAACCTCATTAAAAAGACACCACAATGAATGTTCTTCCTGGGCCTGCTCAGGAAGTTCAGACTGCCCCCCAGAAGCTGTTGATACAGTTTTACAGAGGAATTGTTGAGCCTGCCATCTGTATTTCTATAGCAGTCCAGTTTGGTACAGCAACCCATATAGGAAAGGCACAGACTCAAAACAGATTGCAGCAAAAACAATTGCTACCAACCTGTTTTCCATTGAGGACCTGTATACTGCATGGGTCAGAAGGAAGGCTGAGAAAGTATCTACAGACCCCTCACAACCTGGGAATAAACTGTTTCATCTTCTCTCCTTGGGGTGGTGCTACAAAGCATTGCAGGCCCAAACAACTAGACACAAGGGTAGTTTTTCGCTTGGGCCATCACTCTGATGAATATCTAATTCTCAAAGTACTGTCTAATGTCTGTGTATACTTACCCATGTAGTATGGCTGTAGTATTAACATTATCCTTCTGATTATCTTGTTTGCTACCCTCTCTTGTTGTTGTTTATCATCGTTGTTACCATCATTCTGTTGATTTGCATGTACACTGAGAGCTTCTGCACCGGAGACAAAATTCTTCGTGTATCTAATCACATATGGCCAAGTAAAATATTCTAATCCATAAATATGGTAATTGCTCTTTCTGAACATTGCTAAATAAGGCTGTTGGGGGTATCGTTTTGTGCACTGTGTTCTCTGCCAAAGTGGCAGACCAAAAATTTTCACTGTGATATAGTACACTCAGAAGTGACTTAATTTTTTTTTTATCTTGAATCCGTATGGTTCCATTTAGTCAATAATGATTATTCAATAAAAGGACTGTGGCAATGAAAAGGATTAACTCTTTAGGCGACGATGTACTTGCAGGTTTGCGAAGGTCCACCTCTACGGCTATGGAAATCCGTGGTTGAAATCCTTGCGACGCCTGAAGAAGTATTAAACCGTATCATTAAAGAACAGCATCTCTGGGATGAAGATCTTTTAGATGCTAAAGTCATTGAGACTTTGGATAGCCAGACTGAAGTCTATCAATTTGTACAAAACAATATGGCTCCACACCCAGCAAGAGACTACGTCATCCTCAGGTAACTGTATCCATAAAACACTTTCTTAAAATTTAGCAGCTGGGGATAAAAACACACTTGGAAAAAACTTGCTCATCTTCCTTTCCCCCCCTCAACCGTTCTTACAGAAGTTGTACTTGATTTTCTAACAGGACTTGGAGAACCAATCTCTCTAAGGGAGCATGCGCCCTCTTAAGTTTCTCAGTGGAACATGACCGTGCGCCCGTCCTTGGTATTAGAGTGAATGTGCTGCTGTCCAGGTATCTTATTGAACCTTGTGGGATAGGAAAATCCAAACTCACCTATATGTGTCGAATTGATTTAAGGTAAATTATGTCCTCTGTTTTCCTTAGGTTGTTGGGCAGGGAAATTCTATCTCTAGGACAGTGATGGCTAATCTTTTTGGGTTCCTATGCCAAAAATTGCACGTGCGCTTGCATACACACACTCGCGTGCCAGCACCCAGAAGGCAATGCACGCCCCCCTACGCATGCGCGCGCAATCCCCCCACCGCCCCCTTACCTGCACTGCGCCTCCCAGCTGATTTTCAGCCGGTTTGAGGCCTTTTTCGGCCTCCCAAAGGCTTGAGGAAGGCTTCTGCAGGCTTTGCAGGCCGAAAACTGGCGCCGTTTTGTCACTTCCGGTATTTTCGGAAAAACAGGAAGTGATGAAACGGGGCTAGTTTTCGGCCTGCAAAGCCTGCAGAAGCCCTTCCTCAAGCCTTTGGGAGGCCGAAAAAGGCCTCAAACCAGCCGAAAATCAGCTGGGAGGCGCGCACATGCCCAGTGAAGTAAGTTTGTCTGCAGCTTGCATGCCGGCACAAATGGCTCTGCGTGCCACAGGTTCGCCATCACGGCTCTAGGATAACATGTTTGGGCAACGAAAAGTGACAGTGGCCAGAGCTAATTATTGTATATTGTAAGACAGCATAAGCAATGGCGATCTCCAGATATCTTGGATAACCATAACCTTCTACATCAGGGGTGTCAAACTAACGTTGTCACGGTGGCATCACGTGATGTATTGGTACTTTTTTCCCCCTTCGCTAAACCTGGTGTGGGTGTATCCAGCACATGACACATCCGGGCCGCAGGCCAGGAGTTTGACAGCCCTGCGCTGGTCATTTGGCAAGGGATTGTGTAAATTAAAGATTCTACCTTCTGAAAGGCTCTTGTTTTGCCCACTCCATGGTAGAAAAGCCAATGAAAACTAATTTGGTTACTTTGGATTACCAATCGGCATTATTGGCTTATTGATACTGATGGTTCCAGAAAAAAATTTCCCTTGTTAGCTGATTTTGCAATTTGCTATTTTAAGAGCCTTTGAATAAAACTAAATGCCTTAAACAACAGAAACCATGCTTCTGTTTTGGGGGCCAGAGCCAGCCCAGATATAGCTTTGTGGATGTTCCTTTAGCAAGGGCAACCGACTTCTTTGGAACAAGAGCAGATGGAAAGGAGCAACCTTGCTTGTTGCCTTCTTTTATGTGCAATTAATTTGTTTACCTGCTTACCACGGCAGCCTTTTTACTTGAGTGCCCACAGCATGCTTTCAAATCAGCTTACAAAAGATGGTTTAGTCAGTTTTTTGCAAATTTTGCTTTTCAAGGTCTCTTTTGTGATCCTAAATGGAGATCTTTGGGGAAATACGTAAACTTCTAAAAGGCCATCTTTCCATGAGTCAGCCTTACGGACTTACTACCTCTTTGGTTGCTTCTATTCCATACTTGCTTACTAATAGAGGAGTGGGGGGAACATTTGGAGAAAAAAATATATCTAAATCCCGCCTTTTCTTTCTTTGAAACAGGGGACACAAGCCTGACTGGTACACAAAAGCATTTGGGCACTTGTGTGCAGCTGAGGTTGTGAGGATTAGAGACTCTTTCCTTAATCAAAATCTTGAGGCTAAGGAAGCAACATCCAGGTGATGGATCAAGTGGAACAACTCAGCCTATCTGGAGACTTTCGGGGAAGGTTGATTATCCACCCTAGGACGGATCTGATATCCATTAGGTCCTAAAGAGGAACTTTCTGGAATGGGTCTGAGATTGTCCATCAAAATTAGGTGACAATCCCTTGCATTTTTTTTAAAGCTGCTTTTTTTGTCTGTGTTAGGCCTATAGTGTAGGTCTTAACTGGAAAACTTTTGGATGGTGCAACTTCTTTTTTTTAAAGGTAAGATATTAATGTTTGCTTAGGAGCTGTGACTTGCTTCTGAGAAGCAAAGCTCCAAGACTTAAATATATTTCTGAAATATAGTGAAAATTATTCATTCCTCTGTTAGGTTAGCTTTCTGTATGTATCTGTATGTCGTTTGTTGAGGGACTGCTGCAGCCACTGGATTTGGTGTGTTCCTCGGTGGATTTTCACGACAGTAAGTGTAGGAAGGTTTGCACGAAGGCAGAAGTGAATGACTAGAGTATGAAAAGCCAAAATGGTGGTAGAATCAGAGTGTCTGGTACACTTGGAAGGCATTGGGAAGAATTTAGCAGGTGGGAAGAGGATCAGCCTAAGAATCTGACTGAGAGACCCATTACAAGCTTCAGCTCTTCATTCCTCTGAGTTCTTATTACTCATGTCCGTATCTAAAGATTGACAGGTGTGGGGGCTACATCAGCCAGGGCAAAGATGGGTAAAAAGCCAGATATATATTTCAGGGTGTGTCTTTCATATGGCAATAATTTTGTATCTGCTCCTAAGTTGGAAGGCCACGTGTTGGCCATGCTCAGACTTCATATTATTTGGAATACTTTCTTAACGATCTGTAAGGAGCACCTCAAGAAAATGTGAATGAAGTGGCAGCTCCAGAAAGTTTGAATGTCTTGGAAAGGACACTACATCGATCCTGATATATAGGATTCCAAGGAGAAGAGATAATCTGGGGTGTGGAAGGACACTTTGTACAGCACCCAATCTTTAAAGAAAACTGTGTTTTCTTAGTGCATTTGGTTGCAGCAGAAATCAAAAGTCTCTTTGGGTTTACTTCCATATCATGGTCCCCAAATCACTTTTCCTACCACCTTTTAGTATCCGTTCACATGTTAAGATACAAATAGAAGCCTAAACCAACATCTTTGTTTAATTAACATAGGAATAAAAGCTTGTAGTTTGAGTACAGGGCCAAAACTGCTTTCCATAGCTGAACAGGGCAACACTGAAAAATATCATAACTGGAACATTATAAAGTTCTAAAGTGTTTCCGCATAGCAGATACTCCTAGGAGTTAAACATATTCATATAACCCATTCCATTATAACTGTATAACCTCATTTATCGACAAGGTTTGGAGGAAAATATCCCCCAAAGTTAGAAGCAATGTACGTTGGGTAAAAATGAATATTTGTGCCACAAAACTATGTGACATAATGCAAAGAACTGCAGGTTAAAAGAAGCATATTAAAATTATCAAGAGTTCTATTGTGAACTTTGTAGTAGACATCCCAGAAGTATAAGCTAGAGCAGAGCCGTGATTGCAATAATAAATGAAAATAGGAAGATACATGTAGGATGTTGCCATTTTACCTGTCTAAAAACTACATATTAACTGTCCAGTGTTTTGGGGGGGGTGAAGGAGAGTCAAATTATTATTTTGCATGTAATATTTGTCAACAGTTTCTGCATATCTTGATGAGCATTATTAGTGAGGAATCTTTTTAAAAAGCCTTTAGAGAATGACACTGTTTCAGTGATAGATTTTACTGTAAAAACAACAAAGCACAGGGAAGATAAATACTGTCCTGGTTTCAGAATATATGTACTTTATTCCCATGCATTGGCTGATAGGAAGAATAGAAAATCATTGTAACCCATGCTGTTAAATAACATTGCTGTTATGTAATTCAAGGCTAAAACCTGACCCAAAAGCAGGTCTTGCTGTGAATCCACCCCTTTCCAAATCTCTTATAGTGCCCCACTATAAAAAAAAAAATTACACTTTGATTGACAGATGCACGATTCAGGTGTAAATGCTATGAAATAAAATGAAAGGTGATTTATCTGTATATTTGGAATAAAGTCATTGTATAGATCCATTGGAATAACTAAAACCGGACCCTGATTGCTGTAAATTACTGCCAAGATGTATGTTGTGCCCAAAGATTATGTGAAATTGGCAGCTTTGTTCATTCAGAAAAGACCCGTGCAATTTCCACCTGGTCTTCTTTCCCGGCCTTGGGACTGTGGCATATGTAGAAGAAGCTCTTAGATACCGCTGTCAGTATTATTATTATTATTTTTCATAGCGTGTTTGAGATGACTTTTCAGAATATTAGGAAGATGTTCTCCCTAATTCTGCACCTGTACTAATGCCACCTTGAGTTGCTTTGGCTCTTTTATTTTCCCTCTGTGTTCAATCTATAAGCAGTGTTATGTCAAGAAAGGGTTTGTGTGGTAGGTGAGAATTCTTCCTTGTATCTGTTTCAGAAGACTGTGTCCTTCATGATCATCCACTTCTTGGGACAAAAAACGCGGCTCTGTTCAAACCAAGAAATTATATTTACAAGGGACACCATCACCAGAATTAAAAATAGACTGGTATCTTCCCGTTACAGGTAGTCCTTGACAACCTGGCAACTATATAAATTGCAAGTGACAGGACCTGGGAGTCGTATAGAAAATCCTGCCGTCATTAAGCAAATCCATTGTTCTCTGGGGTGCATTCCAACACCCACCCACCCACCCCGGAAACTGGAAGTAAATTCCTGTTTCCAGAAGAAGTGATAAATTACAGTCACATGACTGCAGGACGCTGCAAACAGCCTGACTCCCCAAAATGCGGTCACGTGACGGGGGCAGCCATTGGAACTTCAGAACCGGGTCTTTCAGGGGGTGTCCATGGTAACTTCGAATAATCGCTAAGCAACCAGTTGTAAGTTGAGGGCCACCTGCAGCTGCTTTCCAGTAAAGTTCTTTGATCTGATGCTCCTCCGTTGCCATTTACATCTGGAGGGCAACAGGCAGCCATCTTATTCCTAGCTAAAAACTCTGGCATTCATTCCACTGACATCCTTGTAAAATGCGTTGCCAGGTGAAGGTTTTAGGTATTGTGCCATTTACAGTTCTCATCAACAGGTGAATTGTGTATTCTTTGTATACTTTTTATTTCTTTAAATATGTAAAAAAAAAAAAAGGAAATGTATGTTGTACATACCATTCTGATGTAAACGTGTTCACACTTTATTGTTCCAGCATAAAGCATGGAGATAATTATTTAAGATATGCTTGTATTTATACCTCAGATATTCTTTGAAGGAGAGGCAGGGTGTTTGTATCTCCAGTTTGGCTGTCCTTTCCTCCAGTGTAAATATGTCCTACACAACTGAAAATAAAAGATAAAAAAAGAAGAAAAGGTTTATAGCTTGCTATTATATGCCCGTACAGAACATAGTCAATAAATGCACTATTAAGTGTTTGCGTTTGTGTGATATCTGAATTCTTCTCCATTTTCTATGGCCTTTTGCAACTGTGGAGTCTCCCCAAGAAGGAAAGAAGGTGGGCATTTGATCCATAGGCCAGATGTCTCAAATGTGTTCTACCATACATGCAGGTCGTGGTGATGTGGCTTTTTTTTTTTTTAAATGCTGATGTTGGAACACAGCTTCTTGTAGATATTTCTAGGGTTTTTCAGCTTCCTGAAATCACATCCTCTTTTAACTAGCAAAGTCCTTTGCAAACTTTAAAGGAACAAGCCCCTCTTGAAGTATCATCCTATGCAGAGGTTTTAGCAGACGAGCAAGCTCTTGTAGGAACAGCTCTTAAAACAGTTTTTAAAACAGTTTCAGGGCTCTCTAGTTGCGGGTTTCTGTTTATCCAATTGCATAAAGCCCCAGATAAGCAGGCTACATCCTCCTGTTTAGTTCATCAGAATAATAGCAGAGCTGTTTAAACAAAAATTGTTCAAAAGCACAAAGGAAATGCTGTTGGCCTGTCCAGGAAATGCGAAGGTTCCTTCAAAACAAAAGGGAAAAGGGGGGAAAAAAGAGGGGTGGGGGGAAGCCCCCCCAACGATAGACTGGTGAAAGCAAAGGAAGGAAGCCAAAAGTAGAACTCTGGTGGTGTCTCTCATTCTCAACAGGGTATAAAAGTGTGGTATTGAGGAAGGTCAACTACAAAACGTTAGAAAGAGGGGATCCAAAAATGTCAATACAACTCTGACCATCTGATTATAGCCCTGCCCTTTTTTAAATTAGGGTAAAGTTAAAAAAAATAAAATGGTACGATTCTAAGAAGTTCCTTTCCTCCAATTCTGTTGACCTCCCTTTAGACTTGGCAGCAGAGGGGTTACCCTCAGGTGAAGACAGAAGACACAAACTGGTGTGGAGATACAATAACTAACAAGAAAACCTGTATTTGTTTATTTCACTTCTAACCAGCTCCTCCTTGTCCATTTAAGATTCTTAAGGAGGAGTGACCAGCCTCGGTTGCATTTCAGAGGCCTTTGAGAAAGATTTTACCAATGGAAATACATGTAGAAATAGCAGGCATCCAAGGGACACTGGTTTTTAAACCTCAATACCGACTGGCTGAAGCCTCCTTTAAAACCAGTAGAACAAGAAATACGGAAGAAATATAAAATATATATACATATTCTAACTGCAGCCAGAATTACTTACGCCCAGTGCTGGAAACGTACATGTATACCACCAGATGAATTGATCATTCAAAAAATAACGATTTGTGCTGAGATGAATAAACTCTGATGTTACAAGAGAAAGAGGAGACCGAGTATTATAACACTTGGGGGAAAAAATGGTATGACTGGATTGAGCAAAGGTAGAAAAAAATTAATAAGCAACATATAAGCTAATATTTACATTCGCATAAATTGTATATATTTGTAAATAATCCACAAAATAGTAGTATAAGATGAATGCCACAAACTGTTGAAGTTAAGGTATTTGTACTTTTTTGTTTGTTATTTTTAAGTTATAAAAGTCTAATAAAGTTTATTTTAAAAAAACAACCAGTAGAACAAAAAAAATTTCCAGTGTATGCTGAGCTGTAATTTTCCTTTTACAAAAAAGATGGCATGTGTCAGGTAAGAAATAATATCATCCCCATCTTTCATATTGTCAATAATTGGGAGTCCTGAATGGTCTGTTCGTGCCAGAAGCAACTAACACTTCTGTCAACCAAGAAAGACAGAATGAAATGAAGCAAACTGATGCCTTCTGGGTGTATTTGGATTACCACATTCATAACCCTTGCCATGATGGACAGTTGCCAAGCTTCTAATCATTGCACTCCAAGGTAGCTAGATGTACCATGTTGCATCGCCTATCCTCAATCCAGGATGATAGGAGTTTCACAAGCTAATGATCCTCAAAAGAAACATCTGTCCATTTGTCCTGACTTCTTGACCAGGATGATTACTCGAAACATTTTCCTGCCAAGTATCATATCTTCTGAAGGAAATTCACTAGAAGACTAGCTCTCAAGCATGTTTTTTTTTATGCTCTAAATGATGTACAATCCACTGCCTTCCTCAATAGACTGAGTGCCCTCTGGTGGAAAACAAACTGGTTAACTTTTCTGAAAGGCCTCCTCTCTGCATTTTCATAGCAGTGTATGAAATGGTTGGGTGGCTGAATAATTGCCCTGGGTGTTATAAGTGGAAATAAAACCAGCCAATGTGTCTATGAATAGAAAGAGAAACTGGTTCTCAAATTTTGTTAAAAAGGCATAAGATTTTTGTGAGCAATTCACTTCATCAAATGCATTGAGTGGTTAGACCAGTGCTTCCCAACTTTTTCCTTCATTGCCTAAAATAGTTCATCAGAAAGTCCTTATTTAAATATCCTTGTAGTTATTGGGTAATGGGTTTGTGTGTCATTTCCCCCCATCCAGCCAGAAAAAACTTTTGCCCAATTTTGGTTAATTTACTTTGGGAACAGATAATTTCTCTTAGGTGGAGAAATATTTTCTGAGGAGAATGCTATATGGTGTTCACCAAATAAGGTAGTCTTTGATTTGCAAAAAGGACAGAAAATGGGTCAAAACTCAGTAACTTCCTTGCTTATTAATGGAAATTTGGGGCTCAGCTGTGATTGTAAGTTGACAACATTTTAAATTTTACCTCATAATACTCTTAAATGCAAAGAGATCAGGTGGGAAAGGACCAACAGAGGCCTCATTCTTGCACCAAATCTCCAAGAGAGCAGCTTTATTTTACAATTTTGCGTGCTATTTATTCATCTGAAGTACACACAGCTCACTCCTCCTCCTATGCACAGGATTCAAAGAAGCAAGCATTCACAGACTATTGGGATATACCACTTTTGCATAGGCATGGCATATAATACCAACTGTACTAGAAGAAGAAGAAGAAGAAGAAGAAGAAGAAGAAGAAGAAGAAGAAG